TTTTTTTCCTCAAGCAATTGAAGCTGCTGTCTCTATTCATTTTCTGAGATATTTTCAGCCCAGATGATAGCATATGTGCAGAATACTACACATAATGGCTTGTGCCTCTCTCATCTACTTACCTTCCTTTCAATTTCTGTCGTTCTTTTGGCATCAATCGTCTCCTCATCCTTTGAGGTATTTCAATAGATTAAATTAGATTATAAACTTCTCCAGGGCAAAGACCATCTATACCCTTAACATAATAACAATAATGCCTCCGTGTGGAGCGTTTGTTTTTCTCCCTCCCCCCAAACTCCTTGCTCATTTATTTTTCTTCTTTCTCTCTAGTCTTCTCCACTTCAGCGGCCAGCCTGCAGAAGTAAATGCTCCACTGAGTGCACACTCAGGAGACATGGAGAAGTAGAATATGGGCCTAAGTGTCTGAGAACACTTCTCCACCAGCTCTCCTTTTAGTCTTTTTGGTCAGAAATATCAGAAGGAAGTCACAAAGCACGACCTGCCCCCAGGCAGAACCATACTTAACCCATTCCAAACAGATGAAGTTCATGCTGTTTTTTGAAATCTGTCTAAAAAACAAGGCATTCCATAACTTCCGGTTGGCTCACCAGCATTGAATGACGCTTACCTCTCAGGAAATGAAGACTTCCTTTCTCTACCTCCCTCCTCCCTTAAAACTCTTAATTCCTTTCTCAGATTCTATTACCAAATCTTAAGCTTCTTTTTGATTAATAATCCTTTGTTTAACTTCAATAGAGGCGAAATGTACCTGGAAACAAAAGGAAGACTATTCTGAATGAAAACGATTAGCTGGGTGAACTGTTACCACCAGACACATTCCATCGCCTCCACAGAAGTAGAGGCCAGGGGTGTTCCTCCTCTGTCTACGTGTATGTGCGACTGGAGGTGGCTTGACTAACACATCAAGCCTGGATGAATATAAGAACAATTAGTAAATTCAGTCACTGGGAACTTTTTCACACTTTGCTTCTCAATGTTAAATAACACAGTATTTTCTGCTTGACCTCAGCAGAAAAGCTTGTTTGGAATGAATGTGAAGACCCTTATATCATTTTGGGGAACACCACCACCAGTCTGACACATTAATCAAGGGACAATAAAGACTGGTTATTGTGACCATATTTCTGAGGGTCACTGTGATTGGATATAGGAAACTCATCGCATGTTCAATCTCCTTGCAAGTGTTGTAAGTGGAGGTGGGTGTGGGTTAGAGTGGCTGAACAGTGAGTCTTCTGCCTCAGGCAAATTCACAGATTAACAAAACCAGGAATTATTGGTTTAGGACAAAAGCCTTACCACCGTATAGGAGATTACTCATTCTGGCAAATAGCTTTCATAATGAAAGCATCTCCAGAGTCCATAAGTAACAGCATATTGTGCTAGTATGACTATAGCTACTGTGTTTCTTTAGTTAGGAATACATTCTATCCTTTTGTAGTCAAAATGCAAGCTCATTGTAGTGATGACCTACTGTCTGCAGTCATTAATTTTTCCTGTTAAAAAATAGATATCTTTGGCAGACTTTAGTGGTAAGGGGGTGCACTGCCAACCCAAAGGCTGTTCGAATTCACCAGCTGCTCCAAGGGAGAAAGATAGGCAACCTCATCCCATGAGATTTACTGCCTCTGAAAACCCACTGGAGGGTCAGCTATGAGTTGGTTGTGACTCCACAGTAAACAACAATGACACAAATTACCATCTTCTACTAACAGTCTATTGATTTCAGTTCTCGTTCTACGAGTCCTCCTTGACTGAGCTCATTTATTCTTACTATTTAAACTATTGATTCTTGTGAACTTGTTTTAAATTTCTTCATGATAGATGGAGAAAGGACTGGAATTGTCAAGGGTTTCATTTTACTTGGATCCATAATCAAGAAAGACCCTTGGTATTAGCAGTCAAGGAATCAAAAGACATATCATACTGGGCAAATCTATTGTTAAGGAACTCTCCAAGCTCCAAGGAGCAATGGTGTCAGTTTAAAGATTAAGATATGCCTAATCTAATCTTTGGTCTTTTTAATCCTTTGCTATGCATCTGAAAATTGGACAATGAATAAGGACAGAAAGAGAATGGATACCTTTGAGCTGTGGTGTTGGATAAGAGTACTGAATATGAATTGAAAAAAAAAAACAAAAAACAAAAAACCAAACAAACCCCAAACAGATACTATATTGGAGAAAGTGCAACCAGGGTACAACTTAGAGGCAAGGATGATTAAACTTGGTCTCACATACTTTGGGCAGACCAGTCCTTGGAAAAAAACATCATGCTTAGTAAGGTGGAGTGTTAGCAAAAGAGAGGAAGAACTTCAACAAGATGGATTCACACAGTGACTATTAAAATAGGCTTACGTATATCAGAGATGATGAGGATGGCACAGGGCAAGGTAAGGTAGAGATGTGCTGTTTATAGAATCACTATGGGTTGTAGTTGACTTGACAGTACCTAACAACAGTCACTTAAACCATTACTAATTGCCAATGAGTCGCGTATGGCTTAAAGTGCTCTCATAGGTGTCTGAGTAGAATTGGGTTCCAGGTGAGTTTTTGTGTCATCAGACCTTTCTTGTGAGGTATCTTGAAGAGGACTGGTACCTCCGAACTTTTGGTTAGTAGCTAAATGTGTCAACTGTAACACTCAGGGACTCTACTTCTACTATTAACTATGCTTACTACCATGATTGTAAATTTCATAAAACCTAAGATATGAGGGGAAGAACTTTCTCATACAAAAAGTAGACATCTATTGTAAGTTCCTATCACCTGTCAGTTTGTTGTACTAGAGAGACTTGCAAATCGCTGTGATGCTGGCAGCTATGTCATGGCTATTTCAAATGCCAGTGGAGTCACCGTGGTAGACAAGTTCCAATACAGTTTCCAAACTAAATGTAGGAAGGAAGATGTGGTAATCAATATCTGAAAATTAGCAATGATAATCCTATAGCAGCTCAGAATAGTGTCTGATAGATAAATCTTTAGGTTAGAAGGCAACAGTGAGGCAGGTGTGCCAGAGAGCAGAAGGATGGTGCAGGACGGGGCAGCATTTACGTCTGTTATATCCAGGTTCACCATGAGTCAGAGGTGATCTTTGCGGATTCATTTCAAAGTCATTCCCCTCTGAAACTTTTTCCAAAACCTTTCCCAGGATTGACCACTCCTCTGTGTCACTGCTCTACCTTGTAGATTCTATCACACTCAGACACGCTGCACTCATTACCATAATATCCTTTCCTCTCGGACTAGAAGCCCTGTAAACATGTCTATATGCCCTGGGTTTAGCCTAGTGCCTATTATTCATATTTTTTTGAGACCTACTATGCCACACTCCCAGACTTGTAGTTGTTTGTTAAACAAGAGTTTAGCAAGCATCTGCTCTACTGTAATGAGGTGAGAATATGACAGACTCTAAGCCTCCATTATTAGACAGAGATGGGTGCAGTGTATCATGTGTGGGTGGGGTACTGAACTGACTGCAACCAAGTGCCAAACCATGTGGTGCAGAATTTAAACACTGAGTGACTAAGAAGAGGAATGAGCCAACTTCTGAGATTTTGAGGGGCCAGGTCTTACCCTTTTCTGTTAGCTCTGGCATCTCCCAAGGCCTAATATTTAGGTAAGTTGCATTCAAAGTTGGTTGAATTAAATGAAAACATTTCTCAGAGGAATTCTCAGTAAAAGTTGAAGATGGGGAAGGAAAGAAACGACAGGGTGGGTGATCAGCATGAACAACGCAGAGAGAGAGAGAGAGAGAGACAGAGAGACAGAGAGAGAGAGAGAGAGAGAGACAGAGAAACCAGTTGCAGAAACAAGCTTTTAAGAGTCTCTTTGAAAAGGATTTGTACCTGGTTAAGGATACATCAGAGTGAAAGCAGTGCCCCTCTCCCTCAATCTGGGCAGTTTCTCCACTAACATCTGTGCTTTGTTTCACATAGACAATAAAAGACAATGTGGTCCTGTGGTAGTCAGGGAGTAGGCCTGAGCACAAGTCTCTGTATGTTTGAACCAACCTTGTGAGGTTTTAAACAATACACATTATTTTCCCCAATACTGTGGGGTCTTTTGTATTCAAATCAAAAGCACAAAATCTTATTGTAGGAGAGAAAGAAGACTCTTTTGGCAAACAGTTGTGTCCACTTAAAGCAATAAATGTAAAGTCTTAGGAGTACATTCCATATGAAGTACTGTAGCTATTAATATACTTGGGGTTGCTTTTTTTTTTTTTTTTAAATAAGTGTATTTGTGGGAAACTGTTCTAATGAATGCCATAACCATTCCGGAGAGCGAGGGGAGTGGGTAGCAAGGACAGTAAGGCCCACTCAACCACTCTGCTGTGCATCCATATCTAAACACTATGGGCTTCTGTGCCTCTTTCAAACATAGTTTGGAAACCGCAGCGTTTAAAGTCCTTTTAGATCATTCAGAATCCATTCTGGATAATTCTTAGTAAGGATCAAGGGGCTGTATGGTGGGGTGTTTAGCTCTGAAAAGAAGGGTGAGCTACTGAAGAGATAGCTGAGGGACTCACATAATTCCTGAGCGGTGCAAAGTAGAGGGTGTCCAGAGATAGGGCTAAAGGGATGAGATTTCCAGACAAGTTTTAATAAGGCCAACTTTTAAGGGTCGGAGGAAAGTTGATCTTGTTGTGGGGGCCCTGGAGGGGAGAGCTGGGTGGGATCTGACGCCTCCTCCCCTTTAAGCTGGTGGCCCTGGTGCTTCCTTCGTTACCTGGAGCGGGGAGGGGCTTGGGAAAGTTTGTGTTTGTTGCTGGCAAAGCGCCGGATGGGAGGCGCGGGCGGGCGGGCGCTGCGGTTCTTCCCTTTTGCTTTCGGGAAGCGGTCGGGGCTGCACACACGGATCGGCGGGGCCAGCTCTAGTGCCCCATCCCGGTCCCCGGGCGGCCAGAGGAGGGAGGGAAGGAGGAGGGAGGGAGGGAGGAGCGGAGAAAGGGGCGCACGTACGCCCCAGCGCTGGGATTTATCGGCTCGAGACGAGAGCAGAGCAGGCGCGCGGCCCAGGCGGAGGAGCGCTGACTCTGGAGCAGTCGGAGCTGGAGGAGGAGGAGGAGGAGAGGCGGCGGGGAAGGCGGAGGAGGGGGAGAGTCGCTCCCCCCCGGCGAGCATGGGGCGCCTGGCGCCGAGGCCGGTGCTGCTGGCGCTCCTGGCACTAGGTGAGTGCGCCGGGGGATCGGAAGGGCCCCAGGGGTTCGCCGGGGCCCCATGGGGGATCGGCCCGGCACCACTGCAGCGCTTAGCCTGGGCCGCTGGGGGTCCCCAGGCCGCTCCCCGGAGACCCGGCCGACGGGTGGCGGGCGGCGGACCGGGCGGGGCGCTGCCCCGGAGCTGCCCTGAGCTGGTCGCGAATGCGCCGGGCTCCAAGCGCAGGGGCAAGTCCCGCGCCTCCAGGCCGAGCCTCGCCCCCACATGTGCGGGGGGGAGTGGCCCGTGGCTGGCTTCCCCCCAGCCCTCCCTACCTGTTGGCCACCGGGAGCCAGGCTCACCTTGAACTACTGGCCTGAAAGGTGCCCCGCACGCGTTCCCAGCTGGCTAGGGCAGAAATAGGAATCTTTGATATGCCCCGCCATAGCCGCGACCCGCCAAATTGCTTTACACACACAAAACCCTCGCAGAGGTGCCCTTCTAGGGACCAAGGAGAATTCCACCAACTTCCTTTTCCAAAGGTCACAGGGCGGGTGTGTGTGTGTGTGTGTGTGTGTGTGTGTGTGTGTGTGTGTGTTCTCTCAGATTGTTACAATAAAAATCGGGGTGCGATTCATTCTGTCATTTTAATTATGGCTAAACCTGCTTCAGTCATTTCTTCTTAGCTTTTCATGAAGCAGCATATTTATACACAAAGACCTACGGGCCTTCGCCAACTTTTTTCCTAATTACTTTTCCTTTCTTATGGGCCCTTGCCTTACACCCTTGGTGTCTCTGGATCATTTAGCCCAGTGCCCTGCCTCAATCCGAGGAATCTTCTGGTTTTGGTTTTTATGTCCTTTCTGTTCCGTTTTATATTCTATACACACAGACATCTCTTCACAGTAGATACACATGATTACCTTAACCAGCTCCAGAAATACATGTATTTATTAAGTGCCCCCTCCCTCCCGTGAAGGCTGATCCCTAACTGCCTGGATATCCTTGGATTCTTTTGGTCAGTGACTCTTCTGGCTGCCCACAGGTTCTCTTGGAAGCCCCCTTGGGAAGACAGATCAGAATCACAGATTGCATGGAGTGTAGGGTCCCCCTAACCAGGCCCCAGCTGCACACAGGATAAATGACCGCCCCACACTTATGGCAGAGGGTCCCAGTGGAGACCTTGCACAGCCCCTCCCCTCCTGCTGGCACCAGGGCCCAAGTGTCCTGAACCCTGTGACTTCTCTCTGTCTAGCTGCTTCTGTGTTTTCTTTCTTAACCTCTGAGGGGATTTCTCAAACTTGCCCCCTGGGAGAGCTCATCTTGTTGCTTCAGCTTCAGCCTGTGTTCAGAAAGCACCCATGTCTTTCACTTAATTAGCGTCTCTTCTCTGGTCTCTGCTCCTAGTGCTTTTAGTCTTTCCCTTTCTCTCCAGGACTCCTGGTGTCTTCACTCTATTGTATCTTTCACACCCATTTGGCTTATTTGTGTGGGTCAGGTAGGACCATGGCCTGTGGTTGTACGGATTGTGCACTGTACAACTGTTGTTCATTCCATTATTGATATCTATGACTCACCTGTGCATCAGCTAAGGTTGAGGAAAGGTCGAAGTTTGAAAAGAATGTGGCAGCTGATGATAAGGAAGAAAAAAGGTCAAGGAGGCAACAAGAGACTGGCAAAAACAGCATTGAAATGGGAAAGCACAGCTTGGGCTGTCTTGGCACGTGTATTCTGCCCTGACTGGGCAGCTCATGTTAATTGCACAGAGAGAATTTCTGTGATGTCACTAGTCAGCCAATGCCTTTTCCCCTAACAGTTCCCTGAACTTGATGTTCCACCCTGTAACTGCCCCACGGATGTGCAGTGTGTCTGCAGCCTGACCTCTGGGAAACCCTCCCTGTTTTACTCTATACTGATTCCTGAAATGTAATATGTTGATAAGCTTAATATGTTGCTATCATCTTTCCTCTTGGATTACAACCTGGGAATATTCTTGGTATCACTGTATTGTCCTCCGTGGTAACATAGTTTCTATGTTCTTTAGGTTTTCCTATATCTCACATAGCTTTGAGCTTTGCTGCTTCTTGTCTCTGGAACTGTTGACTTACCCAGGCTCTACTAGATCCCCAGACAGATACATAACTTGTTATCTCCCTTGTTGACTTAAAAATTCATTATTTCCTTTGAGGTCAATGAATCTTTGTTCATTGGTTGCTTAAGAGTTTTCTTTGAAGGAAATAGTGCCCCTTACATTCTCCTTCTCCTCATTTCTCTGATTCAGAAACTTCACTCTAGGTTACTTCTTTACTGTCCTTGGAACCTTCTGGTTTTTCTCTTTCCTGTAGTGCCAGAGTGGAAATTCCTCCTTCTCTCCTCTTGACTCCATGCTTCCGCCCCTGCCCCCACCCACATTTCATTTCCTCCTTGAAGCTTTCTTAACCAAGTCTACCTACCTCAATCAACAGAACCCATTCTGTTTCCCAAAGCAGGGCTTTACTTTCTGTTGTCTATGAAGACCATCAACGAGAAGGATTGACACAGTAACTGTTACAGTGGGATTAGGTATATCAGAGATTATGAGGATGCTACAGGATAGGGCAAAGTTTAGATCCATGGGTTGCTGTGGGTCGCGGTCAGCTTGACAGCCTCTAACAACATGTCTGAACTGGTGCTCTGGTGACCCCGTTGGTAGGGAGTTGCGCTGCTAGCCCAAAGGTGGCAACTTTTTTTTTTCTTTACAATGTGCAATTTTATTAAATTACTCATGTAATCAATATAAATTACTAGCACCCAAAGGTGGCAACTTTTGTGGTTCAGCAGTGGGAGAGAGGTCGTCAGTTTCTTGTGTAGTTTACAGTCTCTGAAAACCTGCTGGAGGATCATCCATGAGTCACTTCTGACTTGACAGCAATGAGAATTTTTTTATGTCTGACTTGTGATGTCCATTCATTCAGTACAGTATTTCTTGAGTGCTACTGCATACATTACAGTATAATACATTACAGAGTATTCAGTGCCGGGAGACCTAGATAAATGGCCGAGACACAGCATCTTACTGAGTGGGCAGAGGGAAGGGTGGACAGATAATAAAATTGCTAGCTACAAGGCGTAATGAAATATTTGATGCAGAAACCAAGTTCTGGTGGAAAGCAAGGAAGAAGATGAATCATTTTGACTTGAGGATTGGAGTTTCTTTTGCTAAAGAGGTGGCATTTGAGCTAGGCCTTGTTGATAACTAGAGATTTAAAAGAAAAGATGGAAGAACATTCCAGGCTCTGGGGAAAAGCATAATGTTTGGATGAATAAAAGTATGTGACTCATTCAGATATGGTATGTAAATTCCACACAGTTGTAGAGGAGGGAGAAAGAGAATAAATGGGAGGAAAAACCAAGAAAGTGGACTTAGCCTGGCTTTGCATTCTGTTCTGAGAGGTCAGTCTGGCCTGAGGGTGCCTTGGGCCCCCCGAGTGCTGCCAAACATTGTAAAGCTTCTCTCATCAAAACACTTATCAATCTCAATATATTACAGTCATCTATTCCCTTGTCTACATCTTCACCCAATTTATAACCCCTAAGGGTAGAAACTATGTTGGTTTTACTCATTATAGTATTCTCACTACTAATAGGGTGCTTGATGCATAGTGAGTATTTGCTTAATATTGACTGACAGAGCAAAACAATGTATGCATATATTTTAGCCACTGGACATTTTTAAGGGAAGATTAACATAACTCAGTAATTTGAGGAGGGTAACTACTACTAGTACATCATGAATTTGGGAATGGAAAGCATGGAGAATGTGTGAAAAAGGATAAAATTCTCTCAGTGTGGACAAACTCATAGCTGACCTTCCAGTAGATTTTCAGAACTATAAATTGCACAGGAGGAGATTGCCCATCTTTCTCCTGAGGAGCAACTCCTGGATTCAAGCCAACCACCTTTGGTTTGGGAGCACAACTCCCTACCCACTAGGCCACCAAAGCTCCTCCCCTATTTTAACAAGTCCACAGAAATAGGGAGGTATTGTATTAATTAGATAGGTGACACAGCTCTACCAAATAAAGTCAACACAGAGTAGTTCAAATGATGGAACTGTCTTTCATAACAGTCCTGAGGGGATGTTTCGTATTAAAAGTTTGGGTGATGACTTTGCTCTCACAAGCCATTCAAGCTATTCCAGGAACATGGTAACTCTGATGTCTATTCAAGGCTTCTCAGATCTTCACATCTTGATGGCTGTCATTACCATTACAGCCCTGGGAAAGGAGAAAGAGAATATATGTAGGTTTCATGGGCCAAGCTTGGAAGTGGCACACATCGTTTCTGTGCACATTATATTGGAGCAGATGTGGCCAGGTGCTGTTGCAGTTACTGTAATGGAAGCTGGGAAATGCAGAGTGCCAGCCACTATGAAAGAAAGGAAAAATGGATTTGAGTAGACAGCAATCTCTGTGTCATTTGCAAAGACTTATAAGGTAAAAAGAAAAATGTTCCCACCCTTCTATTTTGAAGCCATATTGCTGTTGTTGTGTACCATTGAGTTGGAACCAACTCATAGCTGACCCTCCAGTGGGTTTTCAGAGGCAATAAACACTTATATATAGTATGGTAGTGTAGCTGGATATTTTGTTTGTTTTTTCTCAGAGTGTCTACACACACAGCTTTGCACCTAAGAGGCACAGAATAATAATAGCTACTATTTATAGAGTGTACATCAAGCATCAGATTCCTAACATACATTCTTCTATTTCATTCTCATTGCACCATTTTAGAAAAAGGCATTGTTCTGCTCTGTGTTAATGATTGAGGAAACTGATACCCAGGAAAATTAATTAACTTGCTTAGGGTCATTCACCATACAGATAAAATTTGACCCTAGGACTCCATTCTCTCTACTGAGAAAAAGTTGATGGATATTTGTCATAACCTTATGCTATGTGTTGCTTAAGTTCTTATACCATTGAATTGGTCCCAAACTTATGATGCTCCTACACAGTCCTATTCCTTCCTGTGATTGGTTGCTCATTAAGCT